CGGCCCCCCTGCTGCCTTGTGGGAAAGGATGAGGCAGGGCTGTGGGGTGGCCCCCCTGCTGCCTTGTGGAAAAGGATGAGACAGGGCTGTGGGGCGGCCCCCCTGCTGCCTTGTGGGAAAGGCGCAGCTTGAAGCCCAGTCACAGCAGGTTTGTGGCATTTCTCAGAGCACCGCCCCCTGCGACCTCATGGGCCAGCGGGTGTGCAGGTGGCGAGCATCAGTCCCTTCGCATCCTCTCCAGACACGGGCTTCCTTCTTGCTCTGCAGCCACACTCACGTTTCTGTCTCCTTCCAGAGGACGTTCCGGGAAATCATGCCTCTCCGAGTGAGTGGCCAAGGCCGTCTGCCTGCTTCTCCAGGTGCAGTCTCGCCAAATAAGGGGGAAGTATGGCCCCTTGACCCCCAGGACACAGCCCCTGCTCTCTCCCCAGGAGTTTGGGGACCGTCCCAACATCATCCGCCTCCCGGGTGTGATCCGGGCAGAGAATGACAGGGACATTTACCTGGTGTTTGAGTCTATGGGCGAGTGAGGCCTCCCTCAGACCCCAGCCCCACCTTTGTCCCGGCCCAGGATCCTCCCACCCACATCCCAGTGGTCTGGCTCCCTCTGTATGTTCCTTTGTTGCTTGGTCCCCGCAGTAGCCAGTGCACTCAGCTTGGGCAGTGTCCCTGTGGAGCTGGAGAGTGTCAGCCCCCCAGGCCTGGTGGCAGGTATCTTGAACCCTCTCTGTGAGGTTTCTGCTTTGTCCACTGCTTGCAGCTGCATTTGTTGTTTTTTAATTTTTAAAATTTTTATTCATTTATTTAACTTCTGGTCTTCGCTGCTGCACGCGGGCTTTCTCTAGTTGTGGCGAGCGGGGGCTACTCTTTGTTGCAGTGCGCAGGCTTCTCATCGCGGTGGCTTCTCTTGTTGGAGAGCACGGGCTCTAGGCCTGCGGGCTTCAGTAGTTGTGGTACACGGGCTCAGTAGTTGTGGCTCGCGGGTTCTAGAGCGCAGACTCAGCAGTTGTGGCGCACGGGCTTAGTTGCTCCGCGGCATGTGGGATCTTCCCGGACCAGGGCTCGAACCCGTGTCCCCTGCATTGGCAGGCGGATTCTTAACCACTGCGCCACCAGGGAAGCCCTGCATTTTCTTTTTTCTACTCATTTGATAAAACAAAGGCAACATGAAATAAAGTATAAAAATAATTCCACAAACTTTTATTGCTGTGCCAACAAAGCCAGTGGACAAGCTTGAGAAGCCAGCAGGGGCTCCTGGGCAGTGTACACGTCCAGGACACGGCTCTGAGGCTGCAGTGGGACCTGAGGTCTGTGGGCATTGGGCAGGCTGAGGTGCCGCCATGAGGGCTCAAAGTGGGCCAGACTGGCCCGCTCTCCCCAGGCCCACCAGACTGACCTGCACACCCCCCAGACACCGACCCGAATGCCGTCATCTGCAAGGGCACACTGCTAAAGGACAGCCACAAGAGCTACGTCTTCCACCAGCTCCTGCGGGCCACCAAGTTCATTCATTCAGGATGAGTTATCCACCAGGACCAGAAGGTGCCGCCCAAGCCCTGTCCACTGAGTTCCACGGCCCACACCCCCACCCGAGGGTCCTCAAGCCGCCACCCATGTTAGCCCTCAGCCCACCTCTTTTCCCGAGCCATCCAACGTTCTCCTGGACACCAGCTGTTTGGTGAAGCTCTGCGACTTTGGCCTCGCCCACTCCCTCAGCGGCCTCCCTGAGGGGCCCGAGGGCCATGCCCTGACGGAGCACGTGGCCACGCGATGGTACGGGCTCCGGAGGTGTTCCTGTCCTCGAGCTGGTAACGGTGACCTACCCCCATCCTGCCGCCACCTCCCCCTACAGGTCCCCCTGTGCTCTCCTGCCCCACCAGGGCACTTGGGCCTTCTTATGCCCCCAGTGTCCGAGACCCCCCAGAAGTACCTCCTCCCACCCCCACCTCCGCCTCTGGGGCTCCCCCAACAACACCAGCCCTCCCTGCCCCAGGTACACCCCCGGGGTGGACATGTGGAGTCTGGGCCGCATCCTGGGGGAGATGCTAGCGGGGCGGCCCCTGTCCCCGGCACGTCCACGCTCACCAGCTGGGGCTGATCCTGGAGGGCATCCCACCACCCTCCGAGGACGGCGAGTGTGTGTGCGGGCACACTGGGCACCAGGGACACTGAGGGTCAGAGCACACAGCTGTGGGAGGGGCAGCACCTGCCGGACCAGGACTGAGAACGGAGGACAGCCCGGGAGGGGATGGGGGTGGGGACGTGAAGGTGGAGGGACGGGGAGGGTCCGGAAGCCTTGGGAAGAGTGGAAAGGGCAGGCCTTGCCGAGGGTGGACCCAGAGAGGAGCTGCTGGGGGTTTCGGGGAGCAACTGGACAGAGTCCACCGGGGCCACAGGGTCCACGAGGGTCAAAGAGTGCTCATGAAGGGTCCATCTGGGTCAGGACAAGGGCACTAGCTCTGCGGAGGGGTGAAGCAGGGGTCCTTCCTTCTCCCTGGGGGAGAGGGACGAAGGACAGCGTTGGAGGAGCCCTGTCCTCTCCCCGGGTTTCTGCTCTGGTGGAGAAGGCAAGGGGCTCCCCTGTGGAGGTGGGAGCACAGGGTATGGGGGACGCGTGTGCACGTGTGAGCGTGCAGCCTACGGAGGGTGCAGGACTGTGCAAGGACTGGCGCACATGTGGGTGTGCTTATGCACGAGTGGCGGCGCCCGACCCGGTATTCGGGGTTTGAGCCCTGCCAGAGAGCCAAGGCCCTGCAGAGAGGAGGTCGCTCAACGGGTCAGAAGGGGTGGCCGGCGACCCCCCTGAGCTGCCCGCCCGACCACCTTCGGGACTCCTGATTACAGCGCCTTCGGCGCCCGCTCCCAGACCTCCTGGCTCTCGGCGCTGGCTCCGGCGCCTCGGTTGTGCAGCGCCTGGGGTCCCGGTGAGTGCGGGGGCTTCGGAGCCAGCCCAGCGCCCTTACCGCACCTTCAGGGTGCCCAGCCCAGAAACTGTTGCCCAGGCTAAAAACGAGGAAGCCCCAGTGTGGGCGCAGCTCGCCCTGGCCGGCGGCAGGAGCTGCACCAGGCCTTGGAGAGGCGACCTGAAGGGAAGCAGAGCTCTGACGCGCCTGCGCGCTGCCCGAGGGTGGTGCTAGGGAGGGAGCAGGGAGCAGGAAGGGGGGGGCGGACCCTGGAGCGGCTGATAGGCCGGCTGCCCACAGGCCGGGCCCGACACTGGACGCCCTCCTGCCGCCCGACACCCCCCCAGAGGTCCTGGACCACCGCGAGTGACCCCTGGTGTTTGCCCCCGACAAGCGGCTCAGCGCGGCCCAGGCCCTGCAGCACCCCTACGTGCAGAGGTAGGGGAGGCCCGGCGGCCGGGCAGCGGTTGCTGTGGGTCGGAGAGGTCGCAGGGGCTCGCCCGCCGGCAGCCCAGGTCTCGCCTCTCCAGCACCCGCCTCGCCGGCGCCCCGCAGGTTCCACTGCCCGGCCCGGGAGTGCACCCTGGAGGCGGACGTGCGGCTCCCGGTGCACGAAGGAGCCCAGCTCTCGGCCACCGAATATCGCAGCCGCCTCTATCAGGTGCTCCGGCCCGCGACCCCCATCATCCCCCGTGCACGCACCCTCGAGGCCTCCCCCGCCCCAGCGACCCCCAACCCCCTGACGCCCATCCCGCGCACCTCCGAGCGCCCCTCGCCTCTCGCAGATGATCCTGGAGCGCAGGGGTAACGGCCGCGTCCCGAGGGAGACGGGCCTGGGCGGCGTCCCCACGCCCCCGGCGCCCCCACTCAAACCCAGAGCCGCGGCCAAGCTGCCCTCGGGCTCGCCTGCACGGAAGCCCGGACGCCGGCCTCGAAGTAACCCCGGTCACGGCCCCGCGCACGGTGTGTGGTCTGGCGGCCGCCCGCGCAGAGCTGCTGGGGTCCCTGCTGTGTGGGGCCACCAACCGCCAGCAGCGCGGGACCCCTGACTCGGGACTTGAGCTTCCGACCCCACAGATGTCCCCGGCGGAGCCAAGGACCCTCCCAGGCAGAGCTCGGCCCCCCTGCACCAGCCTCCGCCCCCAGGAGGTCTTGGGAGAGGGAAAGGGCCCCGCTGGGCGACGGCAGGGCTCCCCTCGGCATCCTGCTGGGTAGGTCGTGGGAAGGGGGGCACGGGAGGACCCCTCCCGCAGATCCTTCGCGACGGTGCCAGTGATCCTGCGACACACCCCTTCCTAGGTGAAGCCCAGCGGGAGGGGGGCGGCGCCCTCCTTGACCTCGCAGGCCGCCGCCCAGGTGGCCGTCCAGGCCTTGATCCGGAGTGACCGGAACCCGGGCCGTGGTGGCAACGCGGCCGGCGCGTGACCGGTGAGCCCGCGCCCCTCCCGCCCTCCCCTCCCTTCCACCTTCCTTCCCCGTCCCCCGTCCGCTTCCCTCGCGTCAGGTCGCTCCCTCCACGCCTTCTACGACGGTCCTCGTCTGCTTGCAGGTTCCTCCCCGGCCTCCCCGGAGGCCGGCCCGGCCGGAGGATGTTCAGCGCCTCGGCCTCGCAGGAGGCCCAGGGGGCCGCGCGGGCCGTGCTCGGGGGCTGCTCCCAAGCCTACGGGACCGTCTGCCACTCGGCGCCGGGCCGCCTGCCCCTGCTCCCCGGACCCCGCGCCTGAGCCGCCCTATGGGTCTTCAACCGGCCATCCCCGGCACCCAGCCCCGCGCCCCTCCCCTAGTCCCTGGATTGCCCCCCCTCCAGGCCCCCCCCCCCCCCCCCCCCCCCCCGCCCCCCCGCCCCAGACCCCAGCGCTCTCCACCCACCTTTTCCCCAACCTGCCCTCTCCTGGGCACATTTGAGTTCTGCAGCTTGTCCAGGCCTCTCTGGGGGAGTAGATGAGGTTCACACTCCGGCCTCAATCACCTTCTCCAGTAAAGTGTGGTCTGTGTGTCCCAGCCTGCCGACCCAACCTTCCTCCTCGGCTTCCTGCAGCCCACCCCTTTTCGAGGACACAGCCCTTGAGAAGCCTCGTGGGCACCATATGCTGTCACCCTGGGCTCCTGTCTGGTCACCTTTGTCCACAGCAGGCCTGCCTGGCGCTTGAGCACATCAGATCCCAGCTGGGGCTGCTGCAGGCTGTCCCCAGGGTGGTCCTGGCAGGAGACGGTCTTGTGTAGTGCATCTGTTGCCTGGGTGCAAGCTACCATGTGACCACATTTGTGGCCTTGAGCCAGAGCGGGAAAAGGGACAAGATGGGGCAGCGCCCCTGACTGTAGCCATTGTCAGTCACCCCAGCCCATGCCCCACCAACACAGTGACTGACACCCAGTTTGTCGCCAGGCCTTGGTTGGGGGAGGGGGAGAACAGCTGGAAATGTCTTGTGGGGCTCAAGGCTCCCTCCTCTGGTCATCACCAGGCAAAGGGCCTGGTGTGAGCCCAGGTGGTGTGGGGGCCAAGGAGGTGGGAGGGGCCCAGCGGGCGCTGAGGTGTCTCCTGGTCCCAGGCACGCCTCACACCGCGTCTGACCCTGGGCAGCGGTCAGGACACGGGGAGGCCACTTCCCGGCTGCCTGGCCGGAGGAGCTCACAGCCTAAGGGTTTCGGCCTGTGCGGTGCTGCCAGGAGCAGGAAGCTCTGCCCTACCTACAGTACAGCAGGAAGCTCTGCCCTACTGTAAAAGACACGGGCTGCTGCGGGGGAAGGGCGAGGCTTGGGCAAGGAGAGCTGCACAGAGGGTGGACCCAGACCTGGCAGCTACAAGAGAGATTCAAAGGCAGAGAGAACAGGGCTTGGGGGAAGGCTAAGCGTGGGGCCACCACAGTTCTGGCTTGGAGGTGAGCTATTCATGAGATGGGGACTGCCCGAGGGGCAGCTGTTTGCATTTCTAGAGCCTGAGGCATAGCCCCAAGTGATAAACGGGGACAAATGAGACGAGGATGAGTGCCACTGCCCAGAAAGGGGCAGGGCGCCCAAGAAGTCCAGCCCTGAGTGCAGAGGCAGTGCTGCTGGGACTGGAGGGCCAGGGAGGCCCAAACAACTGGCACCCAGGCCAGGGGAAGCCCCAGGCCGATGGGAGCTTCAAGACGAGGCTGGGAAGTGTCTGCTGGGCTAGGCAACCAGGGGCTGTGCCGACACAGAGGGCCAGGCGGCGGCGAGGATGGGCAGCAGGCAGCTAAGTGTGGCAGTGAAGGGAGGCCTGCACAGGAAGGGGCCGAGAGGTGGAAGGGGTCTGTGTTGGTTAGAAGGTGCGGGTAGCGGTATGGCAGTAGAGAGGGGGAGGGGCCTTTAGTACCCGCAACAGGGATGGGTGGTCGCATCCAGAGGGAATCGGAGACGGTCATAAGGCTAAAGGTTGCAACACAAAGCTGGGTGATTGTACACATATAATTACACACACACACACACACACACACATTTGGGAACATGCTGGAATATTTTGTGCCTTGTTTTATTAATACCAAAATGCGCAGCATCACATTTGAGGAGACGTCTTATTGAGCACGACGTGGAGGACGCAGGTGGCAGGCGCTGAGGGCCTCTGGCCTCTCCCTGGGCAGAACCTCCCTTTCCTGCGAGGGCCTCCCTCAGCGACAGGCCCGGCCAGGTCTGCTAAGAACAGCTGTGCACCAGGTCAGGTGAAACCAAACTCCTCAACAAGCACGTGAAGGCCCAGAAATGCCCCAGCTTGTCCGGTTCCCCAGTGACCTTTCCCATTCGAACCAAAGTCTCTGCTGTTACCCCTACCTGGGTGGTGGCTTTGGTAAACAGACTGCGAGCCGCCAGGGAGCAGGTGTCCCCCTACCCCACCTCCCCTCCGTTTACCAGCTACTCGGTCAGAAGTGCTGCCTCACTCAGCAGTCTGGTTCCTTACATCCTTTCCCAGCCAGAGCAATTGGGGTTCCTTATACTTGAAAAAAAAAAAAAAAAAAGAAAAAGAAAAACAACCTATTTAAAAAGAAATAGCGCAAACGCTAATTTACCAGGACTAGCACCTACTGTGGGGGGATTTTAAGCATCTGGTGCCCAAATGTGCCACTCCAGATCTACTGTCCGGAGGTAAAAGAAAAGATACAAGAAAGCTAAGGGGGGAGCCTTGGACAGATTTTGGGGGGCTTGGTGACAAAGGTGGAAGGAATGCAGAACAGGGTGGAGTTGGGGTCTGCTGGGCACCTGCAGGGCAAGGACCACTCCCACCTCACAGGGCATGGAGACCCCTCAGAGCAGTGGGCTGGGGCTCAGGTGCCACTGCACCTTGTCCTCTGCCCTCATGGAACAAGAGCTCCGCATCCAGCCCCTTTCTGCGGCATGGCTGGGGATGGCACCTGTGAACATGTGTCTACCAGGGACCTTTGTGAGGGCAGCACCCACAGTCCTGCACAGGGCAGCCCCTCGGGGGCCACCTCCCCACGCTGAAGGGATGGGCCGCCAGGAGAGCTGCCAGGAGGGTGGAAAGGGGCAGGGCAGGAAGTGAACCCGGCGACCACGGATACAGGTGGGGAGGACAGGTCCTGAGAAGGGGGGAGGCCTTGAGAGAGGACGGGGCTGCCAGGCACAGAGAAGAGGCCGCAGCACAGCCAGAAGGCCACGAGCAGAGGGGACCCCTGAGACACAGACACCCTGAGACACAAGGACCCCAGAGAATGGGGGACTGAGGCACAGAGGCGGGCCCCCTGAAAGATGGGGGACTGAGGCACAGAGAGATGGGTCCCTGAGGTGATCCAAAGGGGACCTGAAGCCCAAAGAAATGGTGCAGTCAGACGCAGGTCAGGTGGCGCTGAGGGTCCAGAGACTGAGGTGTGAGAAGAGCGGGAACTGGGGAAGTAGGGCGGGGGGCAGCTAGGGGCTGGAGCCCCCAGGGAGGAGAGGCCAAGGGGCAAGAGGCAGGGAGGACCACCGGGTGCGCCTCAAGCGGAGCCAAGCTCTGGCTGTGCTCAGCCCGGTTCCGAAGGCTTTGGCTGAGGACCAGGTGTTCTGCCTGACCGTGATGCCGGCACCCCGACCTGGGCTGGTGGGCCAGGAGACTCACTTCTTGCTTTTGAACGTACCCAGGAGCTTGGGCATGAACTTGCCCACCTTGCTGTCCCTGGTGTCCTCCGCCGGGCCCTCCCCGGCCCCCGGGCCCCCGGGCTCCTCCTTTTTGCAGAAGACCTCGAAGCGGCTGTAGACGCGCTTCTCTTTGCGCATGCTCTCCATGCGGTGCAGCAGTCGGTCGCGCTCCGCTGCGCTGGCTGGCAGCGTGCGGTTCAGCCGGCCTTGGGTCCCCAGGCTGTCTGCGAGGAAGATGGCAGAACATTTGTCCTTGTCGGACATGTCAGGGGCCCGGCCGCCGGCAGCTGGAGGGTGGCCCAGCTCAGGGCTGCTCTGGGCCGGGGTTGGCGCGGGGCCTCCGCGGTGCTTCTGGCCGTGGGCGCTGATCTGCTCCAGGATGGCTTTCGTATCATCCCGCAGGTTGCTACTGTACAAGGCATTGGCCGTGGCCGAGGCCACGCACCCCCGCGGGCCCCGCTCATCTCCTGTGGCAGCCTCGGTGCTGTCAGCCCGGCTTGGCGATGGCCGCCGGGGGCTCTCAGGTTGCCCATTCTCCTGTGGCACCGGGAAGCTACCCTCATCCTCCACGCGCCGCTCACCCTTGGGGTTCAGCAGCTGCCGCAGCCGCGCAGATCCCCTGCGCAGGATCTCCATGGGGCCACCAGGCGCCTCCTCTGTGGGCCCGGTCTTTGGAGACTCCCCGGAGGAGGGGAGAGGGAGGATGCCCCTGTGCTCCGGCACAGGGGGCACCGGGGGCACCGGGCTTCCCTTGTGCTCAGGGTAGGCAGAAGCGGGACTCCCCTTCTGCTCGGTAAATCCCGTGGTGGGCCTGTCTCTGCAGCTGGGAAACCCTGCAGTGGGACTTCCCTTCTGCTCGGGGTAAGCTGAGGTGGGGATCCCTTTTGGCTCAGAGTGGGGCGGCTGGTGCGCCCCAGGCCCCTCTGGTGGGGGGCTGTCCTGCCCTTGCGGGGAGGTGGAGCGGCCCTGGGTGGAGAGGAAGCAGGAAGGCAGCCGGTCAGTGCCGCCGCTGCTCCCGCCCAGTGTGTCCAGCAGCTGCGTGGCGGTGAGAGCGGCGGCTCCCGGCTGCCGCTTGGCCTCCTGGTGCAGCTGCTGCGTGAAGGAGTCGCGCAGGTCTAGCAGGCAGCTTTCGAGGCTGCGGTGCTCGCTCCCACCGCCCCCAGGTGCCGACACCTCCTCCCGCCACGCCTGGGACAGGATAGCCTTGCTGTGGCTGGCGACCGTGACTGCTGCCCCCATGCCGCCGGCGTCTCGAGTCGGGCCCTTGTATTTCTCCAGGAGCTCGGCCACCTTGGTGGAGACAGCAGAGCGCATGGCCTTGCCACCGGACGCCGGCATCTCGCTCACCACCTGCTCCTTCTCCGCGGTGGCCGCAGCAGCTCCGCCTGTGCCCTCCGCCTGTGACGCGCTGAAGATGAGCGAGGAGCGCAGCCGCGAGCTGCGCTGGATCAGCGGGTTCGGGCGCAAGCGGAAAGTGTCCTGCTTGGCCAGGCCGGCCTCCAGGCCCTCGGGCTCGGAGCTGTCGCCACCACCGCTGCCGGAGCCCGGGAAGGACGTGGGCACACGGAAGCTCGAGGTCAGCAGGTTCCCGGCGGCCACCCGGCCCCCAGAAACCAACACGTCGTCTTCATAGGCCTCGGCCTCCATGGGTGCGGGCAGGCCCTCGTCGCCAGCATCCTCACCGTGACAGCCGCTCAGGTAGGAGGCGAGGCGCCAGTGCCGCAGTCCCGCCCGCCCCTCGGGCCGGCCTCTGCGCTCTGGCTCTGGCTTGGGCACAGTCTCTGGGCCTAGCCTCGTCACCGCTTGGCAAGGGAAGCGCTGTCCCAGGTTGGGAGATGGGGCCCCGGCCGGTTCCAGACCGCGGAGCCTGGGCCCGAAGGCAGGGTCAGAGCCATGGCGCACCTCCCGTGAGGCACTGGATGGCACGTAGTCCAGCCGCTGGTGTCCGTCCGGGCCGAGCTCCGGAAAGCGCTGCCCGGCGCCCAGCGTGAAGTCGTCATGGTCCGCGAAGCCAGGGCGGCCAGCGCGCAGCTTCTCGAACGGGCCCTGTGGGCGCGCTGGCGCAAGCTGCGGATCCCACTGGTAGTGCTGCTGGTAGAGCTGGTCGCGGTGGAAGTGGCTGGTCTGGAAGCGTAAGTCATCACCGTAGCCGAGGAATGTCTGCCGTGACACCTGTCGCGCGGCAGCAAAATTCTCCACGGCTCCCGTGCCGTCGGCGGCCGCGTAGCTGTGCCTTTTGAAGGCGTCCATCTCTTGGTGCCGTGCCTGAAAGAAGCCCCGCGGGCCCAAGAGCTCCCCACCTGGTCCGGCCTCGGTGTCCAGATGCCGCGACAGTGGCCACAGCCCCGTGTGCGGCTCCAGGGCGCCCCCCGGCATCCGCGGTGACTCCTCTCGACGGAGGGCCGACAGGAAGTGGCGGTCGGGGTCAAGGAATGAGGGGAAGCCCAGGCCTTCTTCCCGAGGCGGTGGGAACAGGGGGTGGGCTCGTTTGGGTAAGGAGAAAGGGGTCAACGCCCCGGTCACCTGGCCACCCATGAGGGGCCCAGCCCCCGCGTATGGAGCCAGGGCGTAGGCGTCCATGCGAGCTAGCGCCCCGGCGGAGGGTACCAGCGGCTCGGACTGTGCGAAGAGGATGCGGAATTCCTCATCGAAGCTGGAGACCAGCTCGCCCTGGAACACGTGTGCCAGACTCCGGTGGATCTTCTCGAAGGACCACATAAAGCTGGGAGTAGGGTGGGGCCAGTCAGAGGGAGGGGGCGAGACCAGTCGGGGGGAAAGGGCGGGGCCCGGGTTAGAGGGAAGGGGCGGGGCCGAGTAATGACCCAGGCCAGGCTGGGGCAGGACCGGCTGGAGCTGTGTCAGGGGCTCCAGGAGGAGGGCTTCTGGAGAGGAGGCCCTTTAATGGGGAGGGGCTGGGGGGGGGGCAACGGGGCTGCGCGCACCTGTAGCTCCCGCTCATCACCACGGCACAATCCACTAGGAGGAACTTCTCCTTCACGTGGCCCTTGAAGGACTTCCCGGTACGGCAGTAGTAGGTGGGGCCCGCCACAGTGCGCACGCGTAGGAACTGGGGCAGGAGAGGCGTCATGTCTCTGAAGAGGGATCTTACCCCTTCCCTCCCAGCCATCCCCTCCCCCCCTCCGGTCACTCACGTCCACGTGGTGCAGGTTGATGTGGCACTTGTCAGCCATGTCCAGGAAGTGCTGCGCGTTCACCTCATCTAGGAGGATGTAGACCGGCACGCGGCGCGCAGCGGCCTCCAGCACTTCACTGAGAAGGTCCACGTCGGTGAACATGTCCATCACCACGGCCACCACCTGCGGGGGGGTCGAATCAGGGACGGAGGACAGACCCCTCCACGGTCCCCACCATTCTCTAGCCATACCTCCACGCCCCCGCCCCCAGGGCAGGTTGTCTCTGGATGCCAACAATGGCCACTAGCTCATCCCAGGGGAGAGTGGGGCCCTGTCATGGAATGGGGGTCAGAAGGGAGGGGGCTGTCAGAGGGGATATGGGCTGCTGGTCTGCTAGGTGGCCTATGATGGAGCCTGAGGCAGGCACAGGGCCTGCAGCCTACTGGGGGCGGGCTGTCCTCCAGCTAGGGGCGGGTGTTCAGCCCAGGGCAGAGCCCTGATGGCACAGGGGGCAAGGCAGATGAAGCCCCCCAAACACCCCTGCCTTACAGACTGCTGAGCTCCCAGGACCCCAGGGCAGGTATCAGGGCTGAGCCCGAGGCTCCATTTCTGCCCCTGGGAGAGGGTTGCCCCGGGGGGGGGGGCGGGGGGCAGAGGCAGAGGCAGGGGTTCTTAGTGTCTGAACCTGCTGCCTTAGGGTCCATGGTTTAACAGCCTCCCTTTGCTATTTGCCAACTGTTTGGGGTGCTGAGGGCACAGGGGTAAGAAGCTGTCAGCTAGGTCAAGGGCAGGACTAGAGAGAATTCTCTCAACAGTAAAGCCAGGCAAGGAGGGACCCCAACCATCCCAGAGCCCCTGAGTTTCTGGGCACTGGCCATGACCCTGGGCAAGCAAACCTGTGCAGTCTGCAGCTTGAAATAACCAAACCCCTGATGACCCGGGAAAGAGTCTGCCAGGGAACCCTCATCACAGCTCGAAGCCTGGAGACGCCTAGCCAGCCAGCCCTGGCCCCGCCCTTGCCCCCTAAGCTGGGCATGCTGGTATTTCTCCTTCACCCTCACACTCCTATTCATGCTTCACGGTCCAGCTCAGGCTGCCCTTCCCCACTGCCTGCTGAGCCTGTGACAGCACACCTGCTGGGCAGAGCGGATCATCCTTCGAGCCTCATCCTTGATGCAGGGGCTGTCAGGTGGCGGCGGCTGCACCAGTGTGGTAACCTCAGTGCCCTGGAAGCCGAAGGTCAGGGGCCAGCCCAGGTCGAGTTCAGGCACTGCCTGGTCTGAGTTCACAGGCCAGTAGGTGCCCGAGGAGCCATCGAAGTCCATGTTGGGAGGGCTGCTTTCGGGGGGCTCGAGGGCAACGTGCTGTGGGGCCCGCAGGTGGCGGCTCACGTGCTCCAGCTCCTCAGGGCACAGGAAGGCAGGTGCCCCCTCGGACGCTAGGAAGCTGCTATAGGCCTCCGGCCCGCCCTCAGCCAGTGCATCCACTGCTAGGCGGTAATATTCTTTGTAGTGGGGTGGCAGGTACCCGGGTGCCAGTGGGTTATCCCCCTGCGAGGAGCTCTGGGAGCGACGGGCCATGGCGGGGCCAGGGACCTGGGGGAAGGGCAGGAAGACACGTTACAGAGGCAGGGGCTCTGGGCCCCCCCCCCCACACACATGCGGACACACATCATAGAAGGGGCTGTCAGTGACCTTGCGTGGGCTGTGGAGTTCAGCCCGTGCCTGGAGGTCTTCCAGGGCAGCCCCAGAACCTAGCATGCCCCCTAGCTGGGGGAACATCAGAAGAATGCCCCGACACAGGCACCCCAGCTGTCTGTCGCCGCTCTGGCCGTACCAGCCAGGCCCCTGCTTTCACCAGGAGCCAGGGAGCATCTGGTGCCCCAGCTTCCTGCCAGGGGCTCTGGCTCCACACAAAACCCACTCAGGTTACTTTATGGCCTTGTGGACCCCTTCCTCCATTAAAAACAAGAAAACACTAATGATATGATAGTTGGAAGAAAGAAAATATAATCCAGCCTTTACTGTTATATTTACTTTTTTCTTCTGATTTTATGACATGAATGCATTTTCGTGGCCCCTGGCACTGTGCGTGCTGGACAAGCTGGGCCGCTGCCTGTGTCTCTGCCCCCAGTGCCGGGGGAACCTGGGCTGCTCCCTGTGCCTCTGGCCTGTTACCTCCACTGTAAAATGCACCTGTCTCAGCCATAAAGAAGAAGGAAATTTTGTCATTTGCAGCAACGTGGATGAACTTGAAGGGTATTATGCTAAGTGAAACATCACAGAAAAACAAATACTGTATGATATCACTTGTATGTAGAACCTAAAAGAAACACAACAATCTAGTGAATGTAATAAAGAAGCAGACTCAGATATGGGGGAGGGGGAGGTACAAAGTATCGGGTGTAAGATGGGCCCAAGGATGCCTTGTACAACAGGGGGAATAGAGCCAATAGTTTGTAGTAACTGTAAATGGAGTGTAACCTCTAAAAATTGTATTAAAACATTTTTTTTTTTAAATGCAGCTGTCAGGGTTGACCTGATAGCACACCTGGCCCAGGACACAGAGCTTGTCCTGGGATGCAGCGTTAAGCCCCATCCACAGACCCTGGCGGCTCCTGCACCTGCCCTACAGGGTCACACACTCTGTAGGTTGACCTCTCAGCCCTCCGAACCCCGACCCCTGTCCACCATCCCATCTCAGACACCTGCCTGGGCCACACCCCGGGCACCAGCCCTCCCCGAGGCCTGTAATCCTGGCAGGAGCTTAGAGGCCTGTCCCTGCCAAGCCCGGCCCTGTGTGGCAGCAGCAACCTTTCCAAGTTTCTGGTCACTGCCTGGCTCCCTGCCGCACTCCAGAGGAAGTCGGAGCCCTTTGCGGTGGCCACTGGGCTCGTCCCGCGCCCTAAAGCTGGTGCCTCTCCACCTTCACTGCTCCCCCCAACTTCACATCAACCACGCCCACGGGCTCCACTCCAGCCCACCTGCCTCCAAAGGGCCGCATGGGGGCCTGGCCTGGGTAAAAGCGGTCATTGGTCCTGGAAGGCCAGGTGGGGGCTTTATTTGGCTCCCACGGCCCATCGCCCCAGGACCCCTGAACTGCCTGGATGCTCATCCCCTAGCCTGGAAGGAGGGTCCGCTGGAAGCCAATCCTGCCTAGCCTGTGGCTTCCTGAACATCGGTCCTGGCTGGGGAGGTGGTTCTGCCAGACTGCCCCCCCACCCCCACCCCCTGCAGGTGCAGCTGGACGCTGCTGACTGGATGGGATCCATGCCCGCTGGAGACTGTTGCCTGAGAAAGTTAGGGGGTCAGGATGACCTGGGGAACCTCTCCTGCCTACCTTCCCTGGGAGGTGACAGGCTACTGAATGTGACATGGAGGTGGGGATGGGGCATACCCGCGTGTCATTCAGTCACACCTGGCGGAGATGCTACTTGTCTGATTGTCCGAGGAAAAGCTACTCTGCCATGCCTTAGAGGGGGCACCGTCCCCTGACTGTATCCGGTTACATACGGCCTCGTTGTACCAGGACCAGACCGAGGCTGAGCACACGCGGGTACGAGGTGTGGGCCTGTCTGTACTAGGTTTTCACCCTGTACCTGATGACACCGTTTTGTTGGGGGGGGGGGGGGCCACACTGTATCTTTTTTAATTTAATTTTTATTGGAGTATAGTTGCTTTACTATATTGTGTTAGCTTCTACTGCACAGCAAAATGAATCAGCCACACGTATAAATATATCCCTTCCACTACACTACAGTGCGTTAGGTAGCGTTAGGACACTACAGTGCGTTAGATAGAGCTCCCTGTGCTATCGATGTGTTCCCATCAGTTGTCTATTTTATACGTGGCATCAGTAGTGTCTATGTGTCAATCCCAATTTCCCAATTCCTCCCACCCCCCCTCACACTGCGGGGGACCCCCGTATCTGGAAGCAGGGTGTGTGTGTGATCTCGAACTGTATGTGACTGGGGTGGGGGGCGCTATCCCGCTGACAGCCTTTGAAGGTGCCGCTTCCCAAGCCGGGGAGACCTGCTAGAAGTGAGGTCACCCCCTCCTGCGTCACTGGGGAAGGGAATCAACACGAACTGTCCAGGCTGCATGCAGTTGGGGCACAGGGGATCCCAGGTGGGCAAGGAAACTTCTCATCCGACAGGACTGGTCAGGAAGGGGCACCCGTCCAGTGAGCCCGCCAGGTGGCCCTACCCTGGCCCACACGGCTATACCCACGGTCCCGAAGACCTTATTCCTTTGCCTGTTTCCTTTCATGGGTCTGCACACCCCTGAACTGTGGACTGGGCAGTGGCCACTCCCAGCCAGCTGTGGAGAAGCCAGCAGCGTGCCTCCTCTCACATTTGCCTACCAAATGCCGGCCCTAAGGGAGGGAGGGGTGCTTATCCCACCCAGGCCGATGACTCAGAAGGAATCACGCTCTTTGGCAGCTGACCTCTGACCTCTGACACAGCGACAAAGCCTCCAGGCACGGCCCTCAGGGCTCTAGTGGGCTCCCATACCAGGGGCCTCCACCGGAAGTCTTTCCCACAGGGCAGGCCTGGGGTTTTATCCGGAGGGAAGGATCTGGGGCGAGTGCACGCGGTGGACGGACCCTGCGCCAGGCAGACAGAGGCATTAGGCTGAGTGGAAGAGCATGGGGGTGAGATCCCGGCAGGGGAGGCTCATGGTCTGGAAGTGGGTGAGCTGCAGTTTTCCGGTGCGTACTGCAGGGCCGGATGGGGTTACTGAACCCCAGGGAGTTAGGCCGACTGGGCCGGGTGTCCCATCCACCCACCCAAGTCCAGGGACTTGGGCGCCAGGGAATCGGGGCCTTCTGCTCTCCCTGCACCCTACGGAGGGAACCGGACCGAGCCCTGGCCACTCGGGCCACCCACAGGCCAGGCCATGACGGCCTAGAAGGGGCGCCCCAGGGAAGGGTCCAGGCCCGGCCCGGCACCCTCTCCGGACTCCAGCTAGGCCGCGAGGGCGGGAGCAAGTCGGGTCAGCCTGGGCTGGCTCGACCCGGGCCCGGCGCCTATTCCCGCTCGGCTCCTCCTGGGCCGGCGTCGAGCGAGGGCGCCCGCGTCCACACCGGCACACGCGGCCGCGGCGCCCCCTCGCCCCCAGCTCGGGCAGACCCGCCCGATCCCCGTGCACGCGGCCGCGCTTGCGCTCCCACCGCCCCGCTCTGGGTTGCGAGGACCCAGCCCAGGTGCGGGCCGGCGGGCCGCCCAGGTGAGGCCGCGCGGCGGGGGGTCGCCGGTGGTGCCGACCCCGCCCCACCCCGCCGGCCCGGCCGCGGCCTCCCCCTCCCGCGCGCCCCGCCCAACTGAAGCCCGGGGAGGGGGCCCTACCTGGCCAGGTGCGCGGGGTCTCGGGACAAGGGCAGCAGGAGCCGACCGCCGCCCAGCGGCCTCGCGGTCCGGTCGGTCCGGCAGCCACTCCCTGCCGCGGCCCGCCCGCCGCGCTGCCTGATTCACGCTCCCGCCCCCGCCCCGCCCGCAGTCCCCGCCGCCTGCCTGTCCGGGCAGCACCTGGGGGCGGAGCGGCCCCACCCGCGGCGCGCCCGCATTCCTCCGCCGGCCGCCCGCCCGCCGCCGCCCCCGGGACCCCCGCCCGTGCCCCGGCTCCCCCGGACCCCGCCCGCGCCCCGGACCCGGGCGTGCCCCCCGGCGGCGCAACCCGGGACCCTGGCCCGCTACCCCCGGAGACCGCTGAGGCCCCGACTTCCAGGGCCCCGCGCCCCCAGGCGCCCATCTGTTCGCCGAAGGCTTAAAGTCCCTGAGCCTGACCCCTGAACCCTCGCCCCGGAAGTCAGGGTGACTCGAAGTTCCGGCTCAGTCGCTAGGAAACGGGCCAGCCCCACGCGGGGGGCGGCGCTTCTGGCCTCGCCTACTGGCTGCGGAAGGCAGGTGGAGCAGGTGAGACAGTGGGGGCGGTGCCGAGCCCCGGGCAGGGCAGGGCCTGGGGACCTGTGAGCACAGGGGCCCCGCACCACACCCGGACGTCCCCCACCCCGACGCCCGCACAGAGACGCCCGCATACTCGGACGCCCATAAGTACCTGGGACCCCCCCGGGCACACGGGGACCCTGACCGCAGATCCCCGACACACGCCGACCCCACACACGTATAGGAAAAGCACTGCACCCAAGGGACCTTCATTCCCACACGTGTGGACACCACCCCACACCAGTCCCCTCCCAGACCGATCCCGGCACCGAGCCCCCTCCACATAATTGGACCCCACTGGCATGCCCACGCTCACGCGTAACAGACCCTGACTGCATGGGGTCCTCTGCACACACCTGTGGACAGGGGACTCTACAGGCACACAGTGACCTGCACACACAAGGGATGCCACATGTACAGAGCGCCCACATACATAGCCCCCGTGCACATAGAACCCTGCCTCCATACAGGACCCTACAAGCACACCAAGTCCTGCGCCTGCCATACTGGGACACGTGCCAGTTTACACACATACAGGACGCTCTGCAGGCACGGTGGGTCCCTCATGCACTGACCCCCACAGAACCCTGCAACATACAGGACACTACATGAGCACTGAGAGTCCCTCACGAACTGGGGACCCTGCATTGCCGACTCCCACACAGACATGGGACCCTGCAAGCACTCTGAGCCCTACATGCTCCTTCCGTGTGCGTGTGTGCACACACATGCACAGACACACACGGAAGCCCTCAGCTGCCCCTAGGTGCCTCGGTCCCCCCAGCGTCCCCCGCAAACACTTCAGATCCCTACTCAGAACCCACCGCCTGGGGCTGGCCTCCCAAGGAAATGAATTCTGGGGTCAGCTGAGTGGACTAGGGAGAGGGGTGTTGCTTCCAGGCCCTGACAACACCACCTGGTGAGGCCAAGGGGGGGGGGGGGTGGGGATGGCCGGGGGGGGGGGGGGGGGGGGGGGGTGTTTGTCAGTGTCTGGTGGCGGTGCTGGGGAGGCTTCAGCAAGGCAGGGTTGGCTCATGCTTGTGTTTAGGATGAAGCTGGTCCAGCTGGCAGCCCAGTGGTTTGGAGCAGGGAGATGGGTACCCGACATCGACCCTGGGGTGAGGATGGGTGAGCCAGGGTGGAGGGGCCAGGGGAATGAGGGCAAGGGGGACAAGCTGTGGCCAGATGTTCTTGCCAAACATTCCCACTCAGGCTGCTGGGCACACCCCCCCCCCCAAGAACCAGGGGCAGGTGGGTGGGCCAGGAAGCCGGCAGGAATCTGTGCTGTCGGGGTGATCTTGTGTTCCCCAGTTCGGCACCTGCTGTCCGTCCACACAGGTCCAAGCCAGTGTGTGATGATGCCCCTACGGCCGCTGCCACTCTGACCACACCCTCCCTGACCTTTCCTACTCACCCCCAGGAGGATGAGCAGTAAGAAGGGGGGACCCGAAGCTGCCCCAGGGAAGTGGCAGACGTCCTTCCACAGAGCCAACCCGAGCCGCTGCTGGTGAGTGTGAGCCCTCTGACCTCCAACCCTGCTCAGACTCTAACGTGTGATACATGCTATGCAGCCACCCAGGGACAGTACTTCTGGGAAGACCTTTCTCTCTGAGAATGGCCTTCAGGGGATCTCCGAGTCAGGCTTGAGTGTGGTGGACTGAGAACTCAGAGCTCAGATGTCCATTCCAGACCCTGACCCTGAGTCTTGTACCCCTGGGGCTGGGACTGGGGTTGGGGTCCCGGGGACAGTGTTCAGAGGAACGTGGCTTTAGGACACATGGAGATGGGAAGCAGGCCCGTGTGGACTGAATATAGGTTCTGAAACAGGGCAGGGCTTGAGTTCATGTTGGGGATTCTCAGACTAAGCATGGGGTCCACTCTGACCCTCTGCTCCACCTAGGCTATCCTGTGCTTTTTCTTGTCTGCTGCCTCTCCCTCAGGCCATCCTCTCTTTAGCCACTTCCAGGCTGAAAGGTGACAGCTTGTCCTTGGCCTCCTGGTCCTGCTATGGGCCAGGAAGGGCATCTCTTCCCATGTCCACCCCTACCCATTGTTACTCTTCTTCTCTGAGTCCCATTTCTTCTCCGTCATGACACTAATCTGAGTTCTTTGCTAAGCTGCCAGCACCTTCCAGGCTGCGGCTCCGGGTCCTCCCAGTACTGGGGTCTGTGCTTGCTAAGAGAGCCCCACACCCTGTTGCTCTGCTGCAGCCCCTCTGCTTGGAGTGGGCCTGGACCCCAGAGGCCTCCCAGATCCCAAGACCTGGAGGGAGGGTGGCGACTGCTCTCCACGCCAAGCCAGGTTAGCCCCTAGCTCCCCAAAACAGCCCCAGCCTCATCTGAGGCGGCAGCTGTCCAGGAATGAGGACCTGTCCAGGAATCAGGCGCCACGTGTGGCTTCCGCCATCTCAAGCCCTAGGAACAGGCTCTGCAGTAGACAGGAGGCTGGGCCGGTGGGCCAGGAAAATGTCGGGGAGGGAGGGGGGATGACGGACCTCAGTTCTGCTACCTGCTGACTGTCCACCTGGGCCCTGGACCCAGCCCTCACCCCACACATTCCGAGCACTGTGCTGGGCAGCTCCCGCCCCGCCCACCTGGCCAGGATGCCTGGGTTCTCTGCAGAGACACCTCTGCCTCAGTTTCCCTAGACAAGCTCCCTCCTTGGGCTCCCTCTACCTGTCAAGCATTGGGCCAGCCCGAGAGGGCTTCCTGTGCAGCGGTCTTTGCCGTGCCCTGTGTGGTGGGCACCAGCCTCACTGTGCAGACATGAAAGTGGGCCCACAGGTGTGCCGCGGCGCACATCCACCGGGCTCCGGCCTCCTGGAGCCCTGCGGGACCTGTAGGTGGCTCGCGGGGTCACCACGCCCCCGGGGCTTGTCCAGAGCCTCCCGCACCTCCATACCCCCTCCAGGCCTTACCGGGTCCTGGGTCCGAAGCGCCTCAAGGCCCTCGCACCGCAGTTGCTCCAAGGCCATGGCCAGCTCCAGCCCCTCCACTTGCACCCAGGCCTGCTCCTCCTGACACAGCTGCATCTGCAGCTGGACCTGCCGCCGCTGCTCCTCCAGCAGCAGCTGCTCCTGGGCCAGGCACAGCTGGACCTCGCGGAGCCTCAGCGGCTCGGGGCCCCAGCCCGGCGTGAGGCCGCCCACCCTGCAGCCTTCCACGTCCGCAGCGGGGACCGGCACCGGCTCGGACCCCAGAGCGGTGGCCTTCTCCGGCCTCTTGGCTACCTGAGGCTGCTCTGGTCTGGCCACTCTGGGGTGTCCCCGGGCAGCCAGCTTGCTGCTGGTCACGTGCCCCGCAGGGGCCACCCCTGCCTCGTCCCGAGGGCCCCTAGGGGCAGGGGGCGGCGGCTCGGCCTCGGGGCCCTGCTGGCTCGTGGTCTTCCGTGCCCTGCCCGTCCTCCTGGCCCGGGGTTTGCGAGCTCGACTTCGTCTGCCAGACATGGCCCTGACCTGGTGCCTGTGTTACCAGGTGTCTACTCCCCGGGGGCCCGGGCTCATCGGCTGGCCGGCCTCGATCAGGCGGGCTCAGAGGTCATCCCTGGGAGGCCACGGCGGTGGGCCCTCTGCTCCTGCAGCCCCTCGTGTCTGCCCTTCCCCTTGGCTGGTGCCCACAGCGCCGAGGCTCTGGCCTGGGCTCTAGCTGTGGGCCTCACAGCACCACTCTGCACGCAGGCTGGGCCACGCCAGAGAGTTTACAGGGACTTGGCAGCGCGGTGGCTCACCCGGCGTGAAGGCTGACTGACGGGCTGACACAGCACAGGATTGTATGGGCACGGGCCTCTTTGGCCAGACTGGGAGGGAGACTGAGAGAAACTGGAGGAGGTGACGCCCGGCAGCCAGACCGCCGGGTGTGTGTAGCGATGAGTCTGGTCTTGCCCTGGGCGGGCACCGGTGCCCCACCACCCCTGTCCCACCCTGTCCACCCCCGGTCTCAGGAAACTCCAGCTGCAGCCCACAGGGCTAGGAGCCGCCTCCCCAGACTCCTGGCCATCCAGACAAGACGCTCCCCAGCCACAGACAGTCCTAACCCAACTACCACGGGAGCCCCTGGCTCAGCCCGCGCTCAGCACCTCAACCCCCAGCCAGCGTGCTCGGAGGAGCCTGGGGCGCCCAAGCTTGTCTGTGGCGCTCCCTCGTGTGGACTCCTGCTGGGGGCCAGGCTGCGCCGGGGGAAGAAACTGGACCTTGAAAGGTCCAGGTGGCATTTTGTGGACTGAGATGGGGTGGTAGGAAGAGCCGGCCTGCCCTGAGGTGGGGCAGGGCTCTTGGGGACGCCCTGGTTGGGGGGTCCGGCTGCTCAGCCCGCAGGGGCCCAAGGAGACCCCACGTGGCCAGCCTTTGGAGCCCTGGGGACGCAACTTGGGGAGGAGGTGCAGGGGCAGCCTGAGTGCAGGTGGGAGGGAGGCTTGGGACCGACTCCTCCCCAGCATTTCCCCAGCCCGGGGCCGCTGACTCACACCCACGCCCAGGGCCCCATCCCAACCAGCTCTGTCACACTGGCTCTACTGGTTTGCCTGGCCCAGCCCTGCCTGCTGCACCCCCTCCCGCTCAGCCCTTTCCCCAGAGGCTTGGCGGGGAGGTCGACAGCCAGCACCGCCGGGGAGCAGGGTGGGCGCCCCGCAAGGGAGTGGCACCAGGGGGGTGGGGGGAGCAGTGTTAGGGGTTGGGTAGGGCGGGCAGAAGGTCCGCCCACCGGAGGCCTCTCCACACCTGGGCTCGCGAGCCTGGGCTTCGGGCCCCAGGTGCGGGGTGGTCCTGCCCGCGGGCGCTCGCCCTGCGGCGCCTCGCGGAGGCCGTGTTTGCTGCGAAGGCCGTGGCCCCGTCGTGGTGGCTTCGCGACACGGCTGCAGGCGGCCGCTCCTGCACAGCCGGGGCGCGGCCCCTCTTCCGGTGGCCCGTACATGTCCGCAGCTCCACCGTGCTGACTGCCCCCCTGCCCCCGGGGAAGCCAGGAGAGAGGAGCCAGCCGGTGACGGGGCCCGCACCCCGGAGCGCCCCGAGGCCCCGACAGGTGAGAGCCCGCGGGCCCCGGCGCTCTCCGGCCGGCGGGAAGGGGCGCCTGGACCGTGCGTGCGGAGCTCCCCTCCCCGACGCCTCCAGCTCCAGGTGATGGCCCGGTCCGCCCCGCCGGCCGCCAACCTCGGGGCGTGGGCAACCCGGGGACGGCGGTGGCCACCCTCCGCCCCAGGCCCTGTCTTCTCAGCGCGCAGCCTCCGCTGTGGCCTCTCGGCAGTGGCCTCCAGAGCCGAATCTTTACCCAAAAATCTTTACCCAGGTCTTGCCTCCTGCGGCCCAGACCCACATCCAGGCGCACCCCAGCCCTCCCCTGGGTGTCCTCGAGCTCCACAGCGCATCCAAAGCGCACACCCGTCACGGCCTTCCTCTCACGCGTCTGGTCTGCCGCGACTGCTCCCTGCTGAGCCTGTGCCCGAGCCCCCACCCCCAAGGACGGCTCTCTGTGCTCCGGCTTCCTTCACTCCCTCCCACCTTGCTGGCCGCTCACCCCGGCTCCGAACCGGCCTCTCCATTCTGCTCGGTCTGGTGGCCACCAGCAGCCAGTGTCGCGTGCAAGTGTGATCCTTCCCGGGGTGGTGCTGGCCTTACCCCCAGATAAACTCCCAGCACCACCGGTCACCTTTGTACCTCCGACCCCCCCAAGGGCCAGGGTAAGGAGCCTGACCTTGTCCTGAGGACAGAGCCGGACCACAGGAGGCTTGCAGAGCCCTGACTGTCAATTTTATAGAAGTTGTATGTGCCCAACGTATGTATCGGAAGGACGTCCAGTAGCAGGAGATCTGGGCTCGGCAAGAGGCAGGAATGAGGGAGTGGAGGACACGGGCAGGTCAGCCCCGGAAGATGTCCCGTTAGGATGTCCAGAGGCGGCGGCCGCTGCTGTGCTCTCGACTTTGCAGCTCCGCTGAGGATTGTCTCTAATTGTCCATGTCCTGGCGTCTCTTTCTCAAGGCCCAGGCGCCTGGTGAGAAGTCCAGTCTGCCCTTAGGTCATGCTCCCATTGTCAGGCAAAGGAGGGACGGATGTCTGTCACCCTTCCCCCATTTTGGTTTCTGTAGTGGGAAGTGGGCTCCCACTGAATTTTCTAGAACAGAACCCAGCCTTACAAGGTAGGGGTTCCGAGTCTTCAACAGGCCAGCGTCACGTGGAGAAGCTGCTTTCCCGCTCTGGGTCTGCTCCAAGAAGTCCATCCAGAGAGCATCTTCCCCAGCCTCCCGTCACCACCCGCGTTCTTGATGATCTGTCCAAACTGTCAGCCAGAGTGTATGCATTGATATAAAGAAGGTTATTTGGTAGGACGGTATCTGGTCTAGATCAGCCTTGATTAGAGGGCCTTGTGCTGTTGGTCCCACGTGTCACTAGCATCCCTGCCACCACGGCCACTCTGTTCGTGGGCCTTTGCCTAAGCACTGGGTGGCCGAGGAGAAAGGCTGGCCAATGTCCATAGGGCAGTTGTGATGTCTACCTGGGTGTCTGATGCCTCCTCTGCAGTGGACCCTCTCTGGGGTCATCACCGTGAGACGCAGAGCCAGCCCCGCACGCTCGTTGCCCGCAAACCTGGCCCCCGCTGCTGGTGCATCCGCGTGCCTTTCCCTGGGCCTGCCTGTCGCTGTTGCTCCAGGCTTGTTCATTTCAGGCTCCCAATGCACCGGCCAAGCCCTTCGCTGTTGCCCTGCGCACCGCACGCCACTCTCCTTCCCATCCACGGGAAGCTGAGAACCAGGCACCCCGGGAGATTTCCCTCCTCCGCTGTCCTTTGGGACCTCCCGAGAGAGGAGCTGTGATGTGGCAGTGGTCAGTTTGACTAGTGCCACCGTGTGGACTGAGCTCTGTGAATCAAGCCCGAGTCCCTCCTCCACCACCTCCCCCAGGAATGCCATTGGCGTGGGCTGGGGTCCTGGGAAGCGGCACCGACCCTCCGCAGAGAGAGGAGTGTGGACATCTTCCTCCCGCTGGATGTGTCCTTTCTGTCGTAAAGGATCGCTCTGTGTGTGCCCGACGCCTCAAGTCCGTGGAGCGAGGACCCCGGCTCAGGGTGGGGAATTCAGGCTGCTTGTCCTCTGGTGCCCCAGTTGGACTTCCAGGCTCCACTGGGGCCGACAGCATCCCGGGAGCTGTTCTCCAGACCTAGAACTGTGTTCTAGCAGGGAAGGCGCAGCCTTGCTCTGGAGCCTGAAGTCTGTGCCGCGGCCCTCCCACCGGGTTGGCCGGAGGTCCCACACAGCATCCTTCTCCCCACAAATACCTGCAGCTTATCAGACCTGCTGGCCACCTGGCCCGGCAGCCTGGCAGCTCACGCCTCTGCCGTGGCCTCTGGGCTTGACCGTTAGCCCGGGTCTCCCAGGACGTGGGCGGGTGCTGTTCCCGGATACGGCACTTGCTCCGGAGCCTTGAGAGGCCTGCCAAGCGCTGGGCCTCTTTCCTGGCGGAAGGAGGTCCAAGGCGTAGCAATTTATTTTTTCCTTTAAGGTGCCCTGGCGTGTCCCAGATCTATGAACCCTAAAAACTTCATTAGCGTGGTTCTATCTCCCACCCTCTGGAACTTCCTGGATCAGTGAACTGTGGGGATGACCCAGGTTCCTGTGTTAGTTCCCTGTAGCTGCTAAAAGAACAATTAACGCACATTTAGTGTCTTATAACAGCGCGAATTTATTATCTTGCAGGTCTGTGGGTTAGAAGTCCGACCTGGGCTTCAGTGGACTAAAATCAAGGTCTCGGCAAGCCGGCCACCTTCCTGCAGGCTCTGGAGGGCCATCTGTGTCTTCATCTTCTTCAAGCTCCTAGAGGCGCCCACATTCCTTGGCTGGTGGCTTCTTCCTCCAGCTTCAAAGTCAGCAACCTTCTTCCAAAGTCACAGCTCCCTCTGCTTCTCCGCTGTCCCCCTCTTCCACTTGTAAGGTCCCTTATGATCACGTTGCACCTACTCAGATAATCCCGGGGGGTTTCGCTATCTTAAGGTCAGCCGATTGGCAACCTTAGTTCCATCTCCAATCTTGATTGCCTTTTGCCATGTAACACAGTGTATTCACCAGCTCCCGGGGACAGGACAAGGACGTCGTTAGGGGGCTGTCGTTCTGCCCACCGCAGTCCCTATGAGCTATATTGTGACAGGAAGCCAGAGAGTAACCGTGGTCCTGAGACAGGACAGGGAAGGCCTGCTGCGTGGACGCTCTGCAGGCACGGACAGGAGGAGAAAGCTATGGCCAGTCAGCCGTTACACGCCACAGTGCCAGAGGCTGTGTGGATCTGCTGCAGTGGAGACGCCACTTCCAGCCTGGCAGCCCTGATTGCTTCTGCTGCCTGCGTAAGTTTCCTGTCATCCACCATCTTCCACGGTTATTTGTTTCTCGCAAAGGCCAGACAGACGAGTTTAATGGAGATGTGATGGGCCCCTCCACACCTGTTTTCCTCAAATCTTTTTTTTGTTGTTCTTTTTTTAAAATTTAGGCTTTATTTTTTTAGAGCAAAATTGAGGGGAAGGCACAGAGCTTTCCCATAGATGCCCAGTCCCCACACACGCATAGCCTCCCCCATTATCAGCATCCCTCACCAGAGTGGGACACTGGTGACAAGTGGTGAGCCTACACAGACACCGTAATCACCCGAAGTCCACAGTCTGCATTAGGGATCTCGGTGTCGTGCATTTTATGGATTTGCACAAATGTATGACATGTGTCCATCACTGTGGTATCGTACAGAGTATTTTCACTGCCCTAAAATTCCGCCGTGTTCTGTCTGTTCCTCCTACCCCCTTCAGTCCCTCACAGCCACCAATCTTTTTATTGTCTCCATAGTTTTGCCTTTTCCAGAATGTGAAATTGTTGGAATCATACAGTATTATAGCCTTCTCAAATTGGCTTCTTTCACTTAGTAATCTGCATTTAAGGTTCCTCCATGTCTTTTTGTGTCTTGATAGCTCATTTCTTTTTAGTGCTAAATAACATTCCACTGCCTGGATGGACCACGGTTTATTTCTCTGTTCACCTACTGCAGGACATCTTGGCTGCCTCCAAGTTTTGCCTCCAACTGTGAATAGAGCTGCTGTAAACATCTGCGGACAGGATTTGATGTGAACATAAAATTTCCACTCCTTTCAGTAAATACCAAGGAGCACAACTGCCGAATCTTTAGAGCATATTCAGTTTTATAAGAAACCGCCTGTCTCCCAAGGTGGCTGCGCCGTCCTGCGTCCCCACCAGCAGCGGAGGCAGTTCCTGCTGCTCCACACCCTCGCCCGCGTCTGGCGTCATAAGTGTCTGCAGTAGGTGCGGAGTGGTCCCTCGCTGTTGTTTTAATTTGCATTTCCCTGATGACAGATGACACAGAGCAGCTGTCATATGCTTACGTGCCGTCGGTATATGTTCTCTGGTGAGGCGTCTGTTCAGGTGCTTGGCCCCATTTTAAAATCAGGTTTCTTCCTGTTGGGCTTTAAGAGTTCTTTGTATATTTCAAATAACAGTCCTTTATCATTTGTATCTTTTGCAAATGTTTTCTCCCAGTCTGTCTTTCGCAGAGCAGAAATTTTTAATTTTTTTAAAATATTTATTGGCTGCGTTGGATCTTTGTTGCTGCACGTGGGCTTTCTCTAGTTGCAGCAAGTGGGGGCTACTCTTCGCTGTGGTGTGCAGGTTTCTCATTGCGGTGGCTTCTCTTGTTGCGGAGCACGGGCTCTAGGCGCGTGGGTTCAGTAGTTGCAGCACGCGGGCTTCAGTAGTTGTGGCTCGCGGGCTCTAGAGCTCAGGCTCAGTAGCTGTGGTGCACAGGCTTAGTTGCTCCTTGGCATGTGGGATCTTCCCAGACCAGGGCTTGAACCCTTGTCCCCTGCATTGGCAGGTGGATTCTTAACCATTGCTCCACCAGGGAAGTCCCGAAATCTTTAATTTTAATGAAGTCCCACTTATCAGTTCTTTCTTTTTCTTTTTTTTGGATTTATAGCTTTTGCTTGATACTTGGCAAATGCCCTTAGGATTAAGCAACTTTGAATGTTGGGCTTATCTCTTTGGGTTCTGCCTTATTCTAGATGTTGTCCCAGGAATTCCTTACTATTTTTATTTGTTCTTTAATACTTCTAATGGACATTTTTTTTAATTTTTATTGGCATGCAGTTGCTTTACACCGTTGTGTCAGTTCCTACTGTACAGCAAAGTGAATCGGCTCTACAAGTACATACGTCCCCTCTTTTTTGGCCTTCCTTCCCATTTAGGTCACCACAGAGCACCGAGTAGAGTTCGCTGTGCCATACAGCAGGTTTTCATTAGTTGTCTTTTTTTTTTTTTTTTTTTTTTTTTTTTGCGGTACGCGGGCCTCTCACTGTTGTGGCCTCTCCTGTTGTGGAGCACAGGCTCCGGACGCACAGGCCCGGCGGCCATGGCTCACGGGCCCAGCTGCTCCGCGGCATGTGGGATCTTCCCGGACCGGGGCACGAACCCGCGTCCCCTGCATCGGCAGGCGGACTCCCAACCACTGCACCACCAGGGAAGCCCCATTAGTTATTTATTTTATACATAGTATCAATAGTGTATATATGTCAATCCCAACCTCCCAGTGCACAGTGAACGCTGGCAGAGGCCACTGACCCCTCCAGGTAAGGTTGGGAGAATAGCCATCATTGGGAGAGCACTTGTAGAGGCATCGCACGGTTCTTCTCCAGGGGCATCTGGCATCTTCTTCAGTCTAGGAGCTGTGAATCTTTGACCTTGACTTATGTCTGGGAACTAGACACTAGTGGCTGATGTCAGATTTCTGGTGGCAGAGCCTGCTGTTTCTCTGACTACACAAACTGAGCAATATCCCGTAGACTGCCCTGCATCTCGCCCCGGGTCACGGCCTCCTGACCGCCGCCCTGCCTGCTGCCTATCGCGATACCATCTCACCTCCGAGAGTTAAGCGCTGCTGCTTAGCGTCTTCTGTGCTGGTATCCCGTCACCGCATTGATGTTAGGGCGATGAATCTGGCCTCCCCAGTACCAGCCCAGCCTCCAGAGGAGAGCCACCACTGAGCTCACGGGTGTGTTTTTTCATTGTTTTGATGAAGGGGTGCCCTCTGAGCCTTCCCAGGGGTCCTAGTCAGGTGGAGGCTTCAAGGCTAACATTAGCCATTTCCTGTGAGAACAAAGAAACCAACGTTGTTCGGAAGTAGTCCGCCTCTTCCTGGAGCCGACCTGCAGTTCCCCGCTCCATCTGCTGTGAGCCCTGACTCTGACTGCTGGCCTGGGTGCAGCAAAGGGGGACCTAGGGACTTCAGGCGAGGTCCTCGTGGCTCAGAAAGACCGCTCTCCTCTGGCAAAGGGGCGGGAGACGTTTTCTGGTGCGGAACCAGTAGCTCGTGCTGGCGAGTGTGGCCGCTGCCGGGGCAGCACGAGAGCGTCAAGGACACAGAAGAGCGGAGCCCCCTCTGCTGCCTCCTGCCTGCAGGTCCCCTCGCGTGCCCCCTGCTGGCACAGGAGCTGCGTGGTTTGCTGCGGCCCCAGCAGCACAAAGCGGACCATGGAAGGGTGGGCTTGATGCTCAGCGGGAAGGCGCGCTGACCGGCGCTCTCGGCCTGGGCTGTGACCTGCACACACGCCCTTCCCACGCGTGGGAGCTTCCACACGGCAGCGTGTGCTTCTGCCTGACGGTGCAGCGGTCCTGGGTGTGGAGGAAGATTGTTTTCACTTTTTGGAAAGACAGTGAGACCATGTCCCGGGGGCCTCTACATCCCTGGGTGATATTAACTGCGCCTTAAATTCATTCACGTCTCACCTGGAACCTGGATTTCCTGAAACTTAAATACAGAATTGTGAAGCTTACCAACACCAACAAACCTGACATAAAATATAGGAGAATAAAACAGAGTGGAAAAGGAAATTAGTCAATATATACAAATACATGGAACAAACAAGGAAGAAACAGACACAGCCACTGCTGTTCTCGTCTCCGTAACTGACCATGGGCTCCCTCCCTCCACTGCCCATTCCACGTGCCCTTTGCCCTCAGCTAGGACACCTGCTGGTCTGGGTTCTTTACCTGAAGGATTTGAATGGTCATCGGTGCTTATTTGTTTGTTGTTTGTTTTCAGTTGCTTTAGTTTTGCATTGATGTCTCCTATCAGATGTGTGAGTAACAGGCTCCCCAGGGAATACCTTGGGTTCCAGACAGTCCTCCTTACCCGCGTGAGGGGCAGTGAACTGACCTTCCTGCGTAGTCATAACCTATTACCCCAGTCAGCGCAGTGACTCCCTTCTTTGTCCGCTAATTTAGTGGTCAGGCAGAGGTCTCAGTGTTCAATTCAAACCATCCTCATGTCACCTGGTGGAAGTGTTCCTATCCTGGGAACTAAGACTTCTCAACCAGCAGACCTCAGAGTCATGCAGAGAGGAAACAAAAATACCTTCGGTGGGTCATTGGACGTAACAGCGAGAGAAGCCGCTTCCGCTCTGCCTGCTGGCTCCTGGCGAGTCCTTCGGCTGGGGGAGCACCAGTGTCAGTTACCTAGCGCTGCTTCACAGATCACAGATTTAGTGGCTGTTGTGTTACCGCGTGGTCTCTGTGGATCAGGAATCCAGGTACAGCTCAGTGGGGCCCTCTGTTCAGTGTCTCACAGGCTGCTACCAGGCGTTGGCTGTGGCTGTAGTCTCACCTCGGGGCTCGACTGGGGAAGGGTTTGCTCCCTTGGGGACCTTGGATGAGGGACTCAGTTTCTTGCTGGCTTTCGGTCTTGTTATGTGGGCCTCTCCAGAGGGCACACGGGCTTAGTTGGTCCGCGGCATGTGGGATCTTCTTGGACCAGGGCTGGAACCCGTGTCCCCTGCATTAACAGGCGGATTCTTAACCTCTGCACCACCAGGGAAGTCCCATAAAACATTTATAGTAATAAAATATTGACCGTATTCCCTGTGTTGTACAATATAGCCTTGTAGCTTATTTATTTTATACACAGTAGTTTGTACCTCTTAATTCCCTATTCCTATCTTGTTCCTCCCCCTTCCCTCTCCCCACTGGTAACCGCTAGTTCTCTATATCTGTTCATCTGTTTCTGTTTTGCTATATTCATTTCTTTTTTTTTCTTTTTTTTTTTTTCGCGGTACGCGGGCCTCTCACCGTTGTGGCCTCTCCCGCCGCGGAGCACAGGCTCCGGACGCGCAGGCCCAGCGGCCATGGCTCACGGGCCCAGCCGCTCCGCGGCACGTGGGATCTTCCCGGACCGGGGCACGAACCCGCGTCCCCTGCATGGGCAGGCGGACTCTCAGCCACTGCGCCGCCAGGGCAGCCCTATTTGTGGTCTTTTTGATGGTGGCCATTCTGGCAGGTGTGAGGTGATGCCTCACTGTGGTTTTAGTTTGCATTTCTCAGATGATTAACAATGTTGTGCATCTTTGCATGTGCCTCTTGGCTACCTGTATGTCTTCTTTGGAAAAATGTCTATTCAGGTTCTCTGCCCATTAAAAAATTTTTTTGATGTTGCATGACCTGTTTATTATATTTTGGTTATTAACCCCTTATTGGTCATATCATTAGCAAATACTTTCTCCCATTCTGTAAGCTGTCTTTTCGTTTTGTTGATGATTTCCTTTGCTGTGCAAAAGCTTCTAAGTCTAATTAGGTCCCATTTATTTATTTTTGCTTTTATTTCCTTTGCTTTAGGAGACAGATTCAAAAAAGATATTGCTGTGATTTATGTCAAAGAGTGTTCTGCTTATGTTTTCCTCTAGGAGTTTTATGGTATCCAGTCTTACATTTAGGTCTTTAATCCATTTGAGTTTATTTTTGTAGATCGTGTTAGAGAATGTTCTAATTTCATTGTTTTACATGTAGCTGCCCAGTTTTCCCACACCACTTATTAAAGAAACTGTCTTGTCTCCATTGTATAGTCTTGCCTCCTTTGTCATAGATTAATTAACTGCAGGTGCATGGGTTTATTTCTGGGCTTCCTATCCTGTTCCATTGATCTCCACTTCTGTTTTTGTATCAGTACCATACTGTTTTGATTACTGTAGCTTTGTAATATAGTCTGAAGTCAGGGAGTGTGATTCCTCCAATTTTGTTCTTCTTTCTCAAGATTGCTTTGGCTATTTGGGGTCTTTTGTGCTTCCACACAAATTTTAAAATTATTTGTTCT